TCTTAGAAAACTAGAAGAAAAAAATACAAACAACTTTGAATTGTTAATACTTTTTTATAATTTTTAGAACAATGTTGGTTCAATTTTTAAAATGATTAAAACATTATGTAAGAATTACAATAAGCATAATGTAGGATCTCGAATTTCCTTCGCAGATTCAAGATTAATAATTTACTTTCTACAAGTTTCTACCATGTTGCAAATAAAGAAAACAAAGACTTAATCTAGTTTCAATATTATAAAATTAAATTGATTTATTTGAGTCAACATGAGAGTGGTGTTGATTACAATGTTTTGAGGAAAAAAAAGAAAAGAAGAAGAAAATTTTATGGTTTTAGGTATAGTTGCATTCGGTTTAGTTGGTACAATAAGTGTTAAGAGTCTTGGACTTTATATTCATAAGGACATTCATGGACTAATTAGCTTTTGGGTAAGTAATAACTTAGCCGAATAAAAAAACAAAATACAAGTTTTGTGAATATTTTTGGTAATTGATAAGAAAAAAAAAAGGCAAGAAGAAAAAAAATGAATTTAAGTTTTAGGCAAATTTCTATTTTAGGAATTTGTAATGATAAACATTTATTTCCTTTACTTGAGTTGTATTAGGAAAAAATAATTGTTTAGATTTTATTAAAGTTAAAATAGGAATGAATTAAATCAGAGGAGTTCTATTAGGATTTAAATAAATCTAGAAGAAAAAAAATTCATATTCTATTATAAATAGGTTAAACCAATTCAAGGTTATAAGAGAATGCAAGAGGGGGAGAATGTGAGAAACAAGTGTAGAAGGGGGATTAAATACCATAGGAATAAGTGTCTAATCTAAATAGAAGGGTTAAGGTTTATAGTCTAGCATTTGTGTTCTAAGATTATATGATATATTCATCGTGGATGTAGCAATTATGTCAAACCACGTAAAATATTGTGTTTTATGTGTGTGATATTATTGCATATTATGTGTTGTTTTATTTTAGTTTTTACCTCTCGATTTTTAACATGGTATTAAAGCAACTTGATTTAACATAGTTTCAGAGCAAATTCAATTTTAACAGGATCAGAGTTAGCAATCAGATTTAACATAGTATCAGAGCTTACAGATTCAGGTTTTTAACAGACCTTATCTATAAGCTTAATTTTTTGATCGACCTTTACCACTATTAAGTATGAACTCACCAATTAGCTTAATAACACAAATAGATTAAGGGATTTAATGGTGGTAATTCAACACAATATCATGGCCAAAATTTCAAAATTCATATTTCAATTGGTATTAAAAAATATATATTAAGTTTAACTCTTACAATTAACTTAAATTACTACACGAGGGATGATTATAAATAGATTAAATCTCATTATATGATTTATCAAGAAATCATTTTTATTTGAGTTCGTGTAAAAGGAAGAGTAAATTAGGGTTCATGGTTAAAAGAAAGAAAAAGGGATGCGCTTCAATACATGTAAAACATGACAGAACAATCAATGGGTACAAAGGTCAAAATTAAAGACTTATATGTGTGTATATAAAATAATGATAATAATATAAACACACATAAGGCATTTTGGAATTACATGGGGTTAAAAGAAGAAAGTAAGATCACTTTAAAATTTTTATAGGGAGCTAAGAGATTAAAGATGAGAATTGGATTTACTTTCCTAATAAATTTTTATAATTTATATGTTTAACCTTTGGAGATCAAGAGTTACTCAAATCGCATGAATCCTGCTTGTTTAGAACAAGTCCCAAGTGAAAAAGTAAAAAATTAGGAAAATATTTTTTAGTTGAAATTTTCTTTAAAAAAAATCGATTATTAAATAATTCAAGCGTGAAAGATATTGTAAAGTATGAAAACTAAATATTTTTCTGTTCTTTTTGCTTTGAAAACTTAAAAATAATTTATACATATATATATTGTTTTTTTTTTTTTTTTAACTAGATACCTCATGCCCTATTGCACAAAATACAAATTAAAAAATTAATCACTCAAATAAAACAAATTTCGATGTCTATCAATGCCATTGAATAAGATAAAATATAAGAATTTCTCACTATCTAAAAGATAGATTATTATCTTGGAATGAAATGGCAAAACCTGTGAAGTAGTCATTTTTATTTTTTGGTGATGGGGTCTGGCCAGCTTTGGATGTTTCACTAATTCTCAAGGTCCTAAAGTTAATGACCAATAAACCCTCCAGTGATCACCTATTATCACTCGAGGGTAAGTAGTCATTATAATATCAATTTGAACTTTCAATGTGGAAAATGTTACCATTATTTTGAGTAATAATGGAAAATTATGTTGCAAAATAGGGCCCTATCATAATAGTATAAGAGCGAAACATATCATGATTCCCAAATATAATTATATATTAGCGATTTAGAAACTTAAAATTGTCACATGGTTTAGATTTTCAAAATGGTACAGGCATATAATTTAACTTAATTCGTGTGTCGTATGATTAATATTAATTGAAAGAAACGAACTTTTTTTTTTTTGAAGTAATTGCATGGCTTTTATCTTTCACTCAAGCCTATATATATGATGTTTCTGTGGTGACCCATTTTTTAAGATCAAAAGTGAAAAGTTAACAATGTTATTGCATAAATCTTACGCAAACTTAAAAGACTAAACCTAATACCAAAGAAAGAAACATTATCATTGCAGCAGCTACCTAGTTTTACCAAAGACCATCAAATCTATTTAACAAATATATACTTCATGTGCTGAATCCCAACTCATAACATTATATTACTCTTTGACTAATAAATCTTGATCTTCATATTTCATCTTGCAGAATCTGATCCATTTCTGAAAAAAAAAAAAAACAAATAATAGAAACCCTAAATTAATAAGCAATTTTTCATGCATTTATCAAGTCTTTTTCTTATTTCACATTCCATTTACATATTTTCACCAAATGAGCTTCATAATTGATCTGCAGAGTCTCAATCTTTGGAAAACTATTTTAAAAAAACCCAAAATAAATGAATTAGGGTTCTACTACCAACCTAATTAATGTCTCTGTTTCTACAAACCCAACCCTAAATGAAACTAATGGAGAAGATAATGAAACAAATAAAGTAAATTATCAGATCTCAACACACGTGCAAAGTCTCATCGTGTCATTCATGTCATGATATATTTTGTTTTAATTACAATAAAACTAAAAGGGATCGAGGTTTCCCTTTCTTAAACTTCGATGACAGATTTTGAAGATGAACCCAGTTGGCACAAATCAGTTCTACAAATTGAAACAATTTCCAGGTACGCCTTTGTACTTTTCCCAGGCCCCTGACACAACTTTTGTAGTAGCTTTCTAGTCAACACAAAGATAATTAAAATCTTTTACATCCATTAATATGAAAAATTAAACATAAAGAAAAAAAAAGAGAGAGAGAGAGAGAGAAGAAGAAGAGAGAGAGAGAGAGAAAAAGAATGATCTCATTTAAATGATCTAATTTGAAAAGAATATTGGTTCAACTAAACGTCTAAGATTGATAATGGGATCATTTTTATGAAAAAGAAAAGATGATTGGACTGTGAGAGGGATTGTTATTGAATTTATGAGGGAATTTCAGGATCTTTTAGACTCAAATAATAGTAAAATAACGATTATAATGATGAAGGTAGACCGTATCGTGTGAAGATGCAGAATTGGGAATTGCTAAGATTTAGACAACGATAAGGGACAATCAAAGAATAATTAACTCAATAATTAATGTATTAATTTGTAAGGTTCAAATTACATGTAAAATATATATTATGTTTTCAACAAAGGAATTTGGTCGGCCAAGGTCCCACAGGGCCGTAATAGAGCTCAGGCCCTTGAGATGTGAAAGGTAGCCGTAATAATAGTAAAGATTGTCATTAAATTTTAAACGTTTGATTAGTTTTAATAATTTTAAAAATTAAAATCAATTTAATTATTTATGAATATTTGATGAATATTCAAGAATTATATTTAGATTAAGTTATAGAAGTTGCGATTATATTGCTAATTTGAGGGTATATTCAAAATTTGTTTTCTAGATATTATTCTAACTTTTTTTTTTTAGCCCGATCATAGGACAATGTTATAATTGTTTAAAACGTAAAAGAAAATAATATATATTGACATCTATAAAGTACTATAAATGTTGGCAGATATATAGTAATTTAAGGTCTAAATGAGAGATACCTTTACATAATACCCTAGGTTAGATAATAATTAACTTGTTATTTAGTTAAATGTTCATTTTTTTTAGGTCTTCGACAAAATGACTATCAATTTAATATATGATCTCTCAATGATGGAAAATAATAGGAAGATTATATTCAATTCAAATTCTTCTTGATTTAACTAAAGGAAGAAAGGCAACATAGACACGTCTAGCAGAATAAATATATCGAGAATGAGCTTAACATATTTATTAATTAATTGATCTTACATTTAATTTTAGTATTTTACCAATTACATTGTTTCTCTCCTTCTCGAGACTATCATTTGTTTATGTGGACCATGATTCATTAAAGATCGAATAACATATATATATTAACAATAAAATTAGGAATGAATCTATCATTGGGTTCACGTGGTGACATTTTTTTTTTATGTTAACTTAATAATAATTAAATTAAAAATGTAGAAAGTGGACTTGCATGTTGAGCATTTTGCATGAATCTTTGGCCAAAAAAGAAAGATCCCTATAGACTACTTTTAGAATTGAATATAAACAAACGACTTAATAACAACACTAGTACTTTTACAGCAAGATTATATTCAAATTCTCTACAGGAATCCAAGACTAAAGAGCTCCTCAATTTCCACAAATTCCACTTTCCCATGCTCTTGAGTCAAGCCATTTTTTATCATCAATTCTAAGAATTTTACCACAGCCCTAAACATTAATTTCAAATGGGCACATTCACTTAATTTAATTATTCCATTTAGAGAATAGTAATAATATTGTAACATAATCATAATCCCTAGCTAATTAAATAGCTAGTTTGAAATTAATTAATTTACCAAGACCAAAGGCGAGGGAATAATAATTCTTCTGATGCTGATGAATATGGCAATTGCTCTAGCTGATGATCTTCTTCTTCACCAAAATAATTATAATCATGTGAACTGCTTGAAATGTGTGTTAGAATTGGATCATATGAACCATAGAACTCATTCATCACTTCCATTTGCTGCAGGTTTTGGCTAAAATCAGGCTCATATAATTTCTCTGTTTGGTGAACCAACTTTGGTTTCTCTTGTTCTTCATAAACAATGTCCATTATTGAACAGCTGGCTTCAGATTCATTACTCAATCTGTAATTTTTTTTCATATTCTCAATCTGATCTTCTATCACTTGCCCACTTTGTTTGCCCTTATATTTGATCTTACAAAGTCTCCATTCCTGAAAAAAAAATATATAAAAATAAAAACAAAATTGAAAATAATGGATCTTAATTACCAACTGTAAGACAAAAAATATCCCAACACAAGCAATTCATACATAATCCAAAAGTAAATCACTCTCTCTACAAAATAACATTATATATAATAAACCATAAATGCTGAGGAAACCTTAATAAATAGTATAATAAAAAATTACCAAAATAACTCGGCTTAGAAGAAAGAACAAGAACAAGAGCAAGAACAAACCGTTGTGCAGGATTCGAGGCTATATTCATACATAATCCAATTTGTCTTGATGGCTTTGTTACGCTTTCTTTCATTATCACTAAACTTGTGAAATGTGAGAGGCCTTTTGTAACCTACAACACGTTTGTTATTATTCGCATAAATTTTCTTGACATGGCTTGTAGCTTTCCACCATCCTCGACCTGACACTTCTCGAGAATCATTCTCTTTCATACAATAGTAAAATCTCTCGTTGTTTTGTACTGGCACCGTATGATCCCCTATATATTCAACATACATTTCAGTAAGAAAATTAGTCTTTCACAAAAATAAAAAATATATGACATTCAGGATACAAATTATGTGCTTAAGCTCTTCAAATTAGTCTTTCACAAAAATATAAAATTTATGACATACAAGATACAAATTATGTGCTTAAGCTCTTCAAATTTACAGCATCATCTTGCAATTTCATAAGGTTCACAATTAGCAATGCTGGTTCCATTTCCCATAAGAATTTACAACTTCAAGATGTCACATATAGATAGAAAAAAATCTGAACCCTACAGGAATTTATGAAGATTCCTAGACAGAAGAAATATAGTCGTCCACAAAAATATCTTAATTTTTCAAGAAACAGAAAATAATAATCTTGCACACATATCTTTTATACCTACAATTAATAAACAATTATGTGCCTAAGCTCTTCGAATCGACAGTTAGTCTTTTCATTCATGAATGGAATCCTAAAACCTGTATGAATTTATGAAGAATCTTAGAATGAAGAATGATGACATGAAGGATTTACGAAGAAGAAATTAATGAAGGTTAACACACACGTACATTCAAGGTCTTCTGGTTTATGCTCATAAACGTTTCTTTCAACAATGAAATAGTGATGGAGTGGCGTTTCTTTCCCAGAAACTTTCCTTTGTAATATTTCGATGAGCTCCTCATCGGTGGGATTGAACCTGAACCCAGTTGGCACAATCATCACTACTTCTGATTTCAATGCTCTTAATTTGTGGTTGCTCAGCCCTTGACACAATTAACTACTATAATTTATAGGAGCATCAATTCACGGTCAACAAAACATAAGATATATATAATTAATTGAAATTAGACACTTGAAAGACAAAACTTTGGTGTTTCCAAAGAAAAAAGCAAAATCTAACTAAGATCTAATTAGAATCTTTTAGATCTAAATAACAATAAATTAGCAAGATAAAGACGACGGAGAGAGGGAGAGGATTATTGTGAATGTTCTCATTTTTAATGATGTTTGAAAAAGATGAGTAGATCAATTGTAACTAAGATTGATAATGAATTATTTTTTTTATGAAAAGGTGATAGGGATTTGTAGGAGTAATTGTATATTGAAGGTATAAGAGAATTATTGTATCTTTTAGACATAATTAATACTAAAATAGCAAACCCTAATCATGATTTAAGAGAATTATTGTCTCTGTTATGACCCACACAATTTGCAATATGCAAGATATGTAGTGGGCTTTGTGAGTTTAGTGTTCTCACTTGCAAAACTCTCAAAGGGATCTTTTGCATATCATTTAGACTTCCAATTCTCATTGAGAATATTAATTAGCTTTGGTTTAATTATCATAATTTCTGACTCTCAAAATTATAACAAAATATTGTTTGCTTTTCACCTAACCTACATGGTGGATCTCACACATATGGTGAGATAGTAGTCCTTCCCATGTCACCCTTTCTTTTACGAGGGTTCTGTCTGCATAAAACATGTTTTGATACCAATTTTTACGAACCTACTAGATAAAACCCACCTTTAAAACTGACTTGTAAAGGGACGGAACCCAAGAGTTAATAACGTACATAGACATTTTTTCACATCTCACATTACTAATGCACGAGAGTAAACCATATTTACATGAACCCTAATAACGTACTAATCCATCAAAAGCGAAGAGTGCATACTTTTGTGAATCCCAAAACAAACAATATCTACTCTGTATTTAAGCATACTCTTCTACATTTGTGATACTAATTCTTGAATGATAAAAGGATTAGTTATTGGTTCAAAAAATAAAACCATATGGGTGCGTTTGGTTCAGAGACTGTTGTATTACTGGGAATGTTATATTAATGGAAAGATAAATTACCTTGAAAATTACTGAGAATGTTTAAGAAAATGTGTTTGGTTGATTATAATAAATTGGTGAGTATGTTATATTGATATGTTTGGCTGGGGGAAATAAATTGATGGATATGTTACACAGATCACTAATTGCCCTCCTTTTAAAATATTAATATAATATTATTTTTTGAATTATTTCTTTTAACACCCTACATTTGATATTTTTCCAAAACACTCCTAAATCCAAGGCCATCTGGCTTACGATCATTAATACGACCAAAAAAGGCTATATCGGCACACGACCAACCAGATCCGACCAGTTGTAGACCATTACAGCGACATTGGGCGATAATGGCCACCAGTGGTGGTGGTTGTGGCTAACTGCAACAGTCTGCATGGGTGGCTTGTAAATTGTTTTAGAAAAAGGGGCATTACTATCCAGAACTTTAATTATTTAGGGGTAAAATTGTAATGGTAGAGTTCATGTAAATTAATTTCAAAATAAGGGCATTATTGTCCAAAAATTTTAATAGTGAAGGGTACAATTGTAACAAAAATAAGGGTACCAAGTAATCTTAAAATTGTAGAGGGGATTTAATTGAATACTAGTAAATCTTAAATCCCTGAAAGTGAAAATAATGCGAACAAAGGACACAAAATAACCACACACACAAACATAAAATTTATAGTGGTTCACTCTCCCTATAAGAGCTACGTCCACTTTGCCGATGCAGAATTTTATTATGAAAAAGAAGAAATATCACAAAAATCTTTTAAGCCTCGCAAATTGGCTCACTTACCTAACCTTATTATAGGTAATACATGGGACACCATTTCTAATATGATTCAAATCTCATATCCTAATAGGAACTATGTTTTAATTCTTAATACAATTACAATCATATTTCCAATTGTATTCCTAAAGGAAAACAATTCTACTTAAACACAAATTAGGAAAATTCATGTCCTAATCCAACTCTAATTTGGATTGAATTTGGCTCCACAGTCTCAACAAAAAGACCTAAGAAAATGAAGGTAATCAGATTACCTCATATATTACCAACAGTAACTACTATTGGTATTGGAAGATTATCGGAATCTTACATTACTTGACAACCAAACATGGTAATTAAGTAATATAAGATGACATTACCTCAGTAATCTTAATTAACCCCCAACCAAACATACCCTATGAGTGATGTCATAATAAGTAATAGATGACAAGACAATCACAAACTAGTTTTGTTGTGTCGTGTTAATTTATAAAAATTAGTTGCATGAGTAGTTAATTTGTACTAGTATTTTTCTTTTAACAATACATGTGGGACACAAGTTGAATATTGGTTTATTTTTCGATTTTAAAAACTGAAAAAAATTAAATGCCACGTGTCAGTCAATTATATGCATGATCTATATATTATATTATAAGACTTAAATAAGGTTTATGGTATATCAAATATGACTGTACATCAAAAACATTGTGTGGTTTTCAGTAATATTTAGAATGACACTTAAAACAAATGTATGTTGTGAATCCTAAAGGATGAATTTTGTATTTACTTTGATTTTTTAACCTTAATTTCTTTTGATTTTCTCCCTAATTAGTCTTCATTTTTTCATGCATATAAGGCTCATATGTCTAGGTTCACATTTTCTCTTTCTCCCATTTAATAAATCTTCGCATTTGTATTTCCTAAGTTTTGAATTTTAATTTACAAATACTACGTCATGATTAAATAAATATAACGTTAATATATCGGTATAGTCATATACCGTAGCAAAAATTTTTTAAAGTTCTAATAAAAAAATAAAAATAAAGAGAGAAAGAAAAGAAAGTGTGAAATGAAATGAAGTTCTAATATAAATAAATAAAGAGAGAAAGACAAAAAAGTGTGAAATGAAATGAAGTTAGCTGTTTTATTCAATCGGATTATAATTAGTTTGAAAGACTTGTAGGATTTTGATCGTATTCTAAGAAATTAAAGTGTCTTTTACAAACTAAGTTTTCAAACATAATTATACATGCAATCTTGAATGTACAAATATGATTAAGTCATATCCATTTCTGGTCCCATCATCTACTTAAAGTCTTAATCCGTTCTTAGAAAACTAGAAGAAAAAAATACAACACACTTTTGAATTGTTTAATACTTTTTTATTAATTTTTAGAAACAATGTTGGTTCAATTTTTAAAATGATTAAAACATTATTAGTAAGAAATTACAATAAGAATAATGTAGTATCTCGAATTTCCTTCGCAGACTTCAAAGATTAATTAATTTACTTTCTACAAGTTTCTACCATGTTTGCAAATAAAGAAAACAAAGACTTAATACTAGTTTCAATATTATAAAATTAAATTGATTTATTTGAGTCAACAATGAGAGTGAGTTTTGTATGTACATATGTTTTGAGGAAAAAAAAGGAAAAATAAAAATAAAAAGAAGAAGAAGAAGAAGAAAATTTTATTGGGTTTAGGTATAGTTGCATTCGTGTTTAGTTGGTAAACAATAAGTGTTAAGAGTCTTGGACTTTAATATTCATAAAGGACATTCATGGACTAATTTTAGCTTTTGGGTTAAGTAATAACTTAGCCGAATAAAAAAACAAAATACAAGTTTTTGTGAATACTTTTTGGTAATTGATAAAGAAAAAAAAAAAGGCAAGCAAGAAAGAAAATGAATTTAAGTTTTAGGCAAATTTCTATTTTAGGAATTTGTAACTAAGAACATTTATTTTCCTTTACTTTGAGTTGTATTAGGAAAGAATAATTAGTTTAAGATTTTATTTAAAGTTAAAATAGAAGAATGAATTAAATCAGAGGAGTTCTATTAGGATTCAAAATATGAATTCTAGTAGAAAAAGAATATCATATTCTATCTATAAATAAAAGATTAAAACCAATTCAAGGTTATGAGAGAAGTTGCAAGAGGGGGAGATTGTGAGAAACACATGATGTAAGAAGGGGTATTAAATACCATAAGAAATAAGTGTCAATCTAAATAGAAGGGTTAATGGTTTTATATGTTCTAGCATTTGTGTTCTTAAGATTATAATGATACTATCTCATCTGTGGATGTAAGCAAATTATGTCAAACCACGTAAAATATTATGTCTTTATGTGTGTGATATTATTAGCATATTATGTGTTGTTTTTTATTTTAGTTTTTACTCCTCTGATTTTTAACATGATATTAAAGCATACTCTGATTTTTAACATAGTTTCAGAGCAAATTCAAAATTTTAACATGGCATCAGAGTTTAGCAAATTCAGATTATTACCATAGTATCAGAGCTTAACTGATTCAGATTTTTAACAGGACCTTATCTATAAGCTTAAGTTTTTTGATCGACCTTTACCACTAGTTTAAGTATGACATCACCAATTAGCTTAATAAGCACAAATAGATTAAGGGATTTTAATGGTGGTAATTCAACACAATATCATGGCCAAAATTTCAAATCTTCATATTTCAATTGGATATTAAAAAATATATATTAATGTTTAACTCTTACTAATTAACTTAAATTATCTACACGAGGGATTGATTATATAATAGATTAAATCTCATTATATGATTTATCAAGTAAATCATTTTTATTTGAGTTCGTGTAAAAGGAAGAGTAAATCAGGGTTCATGGTTTAAAAAGAAAGAAAAAGGGATGCGCTCTCAATACATGGTAAAACATGACAGAACAATCAATGGGTAAACAAAGGTCCAAGTTAAAGACTTATATGTGTGTATAAAATAATGATAATAATAATAATAAACACATCAATAAAGGCATTTTGGAATTACATGGGGTTAAAAGAAGAAAGTAAGATCACTTTAAAATTTTTAATAGGGAGCTAATGAGATTAAAGATGAGAATTGGATTTA